GAGAAAAGAAAACGCCAAATAGTAATGTGAAAATGCTTTATAAAATACTTTTTCTGTTTAAAATTTTCAAATCGTCCAAATGAAAACCCCAAAAATTATGCTGTTTGAAAAAATCATGTTACTTTTTTCTTTGTGTAGTCATTTTAACCTTATTTGACAAGTGAACCCATTTAGATAGGATTTCCGAATTTTTACTTTAGAAATTTGAGTATTAAGACCTCTTTCAGAAAAAATATTTTATGAATGTATTTTTATTATAAAGCTTGATAACTAAAATTAACAATTTGCATATTCTTCATTACGAAAAGAAATTTGTCCGCATTAAAGGGCGATAAACTATTTTTTATGTTCAACATAAATAATACGTCTTTCAGAGTTCTGTGAAGAAAGTGGTGCGTAGAGATGATACTCCTTGCCAAATTAAGCAAAAGTGGTAAATCTTTGCAACTTTGCTTCCACCAATCCATTGCTGCCTTGTCTACTTATCGTTTGAATAACCACATGGCCTATGTATGACTTAAAATCTATGACCTTATTTTGTGCTATCGGTCGTTTGGTGAACGCTGAAATCAGCTTTTAAGCAATCCACTTAAGCGCAGGTAAACTATCTAATAAAACAATAGAATTGGTAGTTACTTATCAACTCTCGGCCAAAGCAGTGTGCGTATAGCAAGAACAGTGTTATCTCAAAAACTAGTCAAATTTGAGCTATAGCTGTTTGACGAAAAAACAGTTATGAAACAATAAAATTTTGGCGCGTCGAAAAAAGTTATAAAATGAGTAAAGAATTAAGCGCTGCCAACATGGAAAAAGGTAAAAAAAAAATTAGAAAAGCTATAGGACGTACTCAGCAGTACCAGTGAGAAAGTCTGGGCTGTGGAAACCGAAGGCCTTCGGACATAGCTCAATCTTAAGACTGATAGCAAAAAAAAAACAGACTATATGTTGTCATGTCTGGATTTTAGCTAGAATGCTTGTACGGCACAATTCGCTGATAATGAAATCATCTGTATCTACAATGACGCATCCTAGATGAACTGCGATGTAGGGACGGGGGTCTATTCCGAGGAGCTTGGTGTCAATCAGTCCCTGCGGCTGGAAAACCATGCTAGTATATTTAAGGTTGAAGTTCTGGGCATATGCATGCGAAGCTTGTCGAATACTAAACACTACTGCTACCAGGAAAGAAAGAGCGGTTATTTACTCAGTTAACCAGGCAACATTCCTAGCTGTATCATCTACTGATACCAAGTCCTAGCTAGTCAAAGAATGCAAGGTAGAGCTACGCTCGTCCAGCTCCTTTGTGTACGGATGCCTAGCCATAGGAACATAGAGAGCAACGAGAGAGCAGACAAATTAGTGGTGGTACTGGGTTATACCTTCAGACAAATACAAACAGAAATCCGCTTGCATCTTAGAGAGCTAGCAAGGGGGAGTGGGTCAGAGATCCAAACTTGTTAGGTAGCATGAAAGCTTTGGCTTGACTTCAGCCAGAAAATAACAGCAGAGCTGCTAAGTAGATCGATTGTTGAAGTTTCTAGGATTGTAGCAAACTATCGCCGGTCTTTGGCCGCTGGTTTAATTAAACTGCTGAAATGTTAGAGAGGTAGGATATGGTAAAATAAAGTAACATTATCCTTGAGAAATGCACGAAGATGGCGCTTTTATTAGAGGTCAGAATACAAAAAAATTTACGCCCAAATTTGGTTTGTTCTGTGTTTGGCTGAGCTCTTTCCCAACATGTGATATTTAAAATTGACAAAAATATTTTGTGTGCCCATTTGTTTATCCAGTGTCTTCACCAGAATTTTGTGTGGCGTAGGCAGGAAGTCACACTGATAAGATGCAATCATGAAGGGCTCCGGTTTTTCACACATTATTGTCGATAGGACCTGATTCCGCGGTTATTGGAGCAAATAATAGTTTCTCCATTCTTGCGGATTGGGCATAGTATACTGTGATTCAAATCTTCGGGCATGCATTTAACAGAACAAATTAGGCTTTAAGTCTGGTACTGCAACCTATCGACTCGACTCTTCGCCGACCGTTTTGAATAGCTTAGCCGGTAAATTGGCTGCTCAAGGTGCTTTGTTGTTTCTAGGGCGCGCTATTATTGCTCTTCTCACCTGATATAGGTCGAGTGAATGGACGTCAACGTTGCGGACCTTAGCTGTATTTCTGCCATGAAAAATACTTTTATAAAAACTGTTTGTTGTACTAAGGAGCCATACAAATTTGGCTTCTTACGTGACATCTCATCAGGCGAACTTAATTTTGAAGGAAATGACTTGCCTAACAGTTGAAAGATCCTGGTGTATGTATACACTCCTCGTCATTTGAACAGTGCACCCTTTTACACCTTAGTATTACATATTCTCCACGTATAGCGTAAATTTTATACAAAAAAAAAATGTCAACAAAGGGGGAATATTTTGGTAATGTTTTTAGAAAAATTTTGGATATACAGTCTTCTAGCCGCATTCATTTTTAATGCATTCAAGTCAAAGTTTCAAGTGCGTGTAAAATAGCGTTGATTTTTGATTTTTTTTACTGTGCTGCGTATTTGCTTGAAAATTCACGACACTTAAAAAATAAAAATAAAATAAAAAGCCAACGTTTTTTACAGCCAACGTTTTTTACAGCCACGTGAAACTTGCACTTTGTTGTATTTAAATTGAATGGCACACAAAAGTGCATAACCGATTTTTATTTTTTTTAATATTATTAAATTATGACAGCAGGTCATAACGCAGCCTTTGTTAATATTTTTTTTTTTTCATTTCTATACAATTTTAAAATCGGACGACTTACATGTAAGTAAAATATGCCAAATTTTTATAAAAAATTAATGAATATTAAATAGAAAGAAGGAAAGCTAAAAATACTAAGCATTAAATGGGCGCGCTATTCAAATGACGGGGAGTGTAAGTTTTGACTTTTTGTTTTAACAGCGACGCATTCGCATGTGTAAAATCGCGTTTTCTATGATAAGATAACAGTAGATTTAGCATTGCTTTTACTATATCTCTTGAGTGTCATAATCAACGCAATCGCTATATAACTACTTTGGTTTTCATAGACATCCAAAAATTCGTACTTTAACGTCACCAAAAAACTGCGATTAAAATAAATAGCTTGATTGATAGAATCGACATAAAGAACGTGAAGTCAAATCAAAGCATATCACCAAAAGTACAAAAGTACTTTACAGTGGTCACTGACGGCCATTTTTGTGGTGTTTGAAACTCAATCTTTGACTTTTGTTTAAAGATATGTCGCTGAGTAGTAAGAGATGCGCTTCGCTCCATTACGTCAGGATTTTTTCCTAACCTCAAAAAACATGGCAGAAATCCTGACGTGATAAAGCAAAACGGTCTTCAGTTACGTACAAAGCGCTTCAAAATACATAAGGAAAACACAGTCTGAATCCTGAACCATGAACAGCCACACACACACACACAAAATGTCACTATTAAGTTGGCATGTCAGGGTAATATTTTTTATACCTATATATAGGGAAAACCGGAAAGTTATTAGGGGGGGGAGGGGGGTTGCGGTAATTCGATTAATCGTGCCATCACTAGTGAGGGGCTGAGTAAATGATGTAAAATTTTGTATTTAGCATTTCTACTTTTTCCCACTTTGAGCCCAATAGGTTTACATTATCTACTGTCACCATTGCGGTTTTCCACCGGCTTCCATATAGTCGAAACACTGTGCGGCGTACATTTATTGGTTTCCTCCGAATGAGGTGTCTAGTAACTAGTAACTAACTACTTTTAGACATATAATATTCTATTTGAAGGGTCTTGGTCTGGCCAAAGCCTAACAGTCGCATATAATATCGATACCTGAGTGGAAGATCGACCAATTTCGGCAGCCAGTTCGAAAACGCCCTATCTCAGAAAACTTTTCAAGAACGCGCTATTTCAGAATTTTATTGAAAATGCCCTATCTCAGAATTCGGTTCAAAAGCACCTTATCTCAGCTGAAAATACATTGAATTCGAACCGAATTTTGAGATAGGGCGGTCTTCAACCAAATTCTTAAATATGGCGTTCTTAAAAAGTTTTCGAACTGGCTGCCGAGATAAGTCGATCTTTCACTCAGGTATCGATATGCTCTCAAGTTTCACTATCTTCAAGGCAGTGCCGTGGTCACGCCTACTCGGTACATGTTGATTTGCAATCGGTTGTAACGAGTATGTTCACAATTCACTGGAGCCTTCAATGAGATGTTATAAAAACAAATTTCATCAAAATTAAAAATAATGTAACATTTATTATCTGGAACAGGGGAATCGATTTTCTTTAAAATTGCTACTTTTTCTGCACAAAAAAAAAATTTAATACGAACAAACAAAAATTCAAAAATCGGGCTCAACTAGTCTCTTGCAAATTTTATTAGCTTTCATAAAAAAAATTATAAACAAATTTAGCGAAAACTTCAGGCTCCAGTGAATTGTGACCACAAAATGCCAATTTTGAACCACTATGCGTGGACCATTTGCCCATGGAAGTTGCGATTATATCTTGGAACTTTCTAATGTAAAACTTTATAAATCGTGCGTTTCAATTAAAGAAAAGTCTTTGCTACAATCCGACTTAAACAGCATGGCTAACTGGTGTAAAGTAAATCGTATGCCTCTAAATAAAAAAAAAATTAAAGTAATGTGGTTATCGCGAAGAGCTTTTCACCGAATTTCTTATAGTTACAATAGGTAACCATAACCTTAAACAGGTATACAATTTTGTGGACCTTGGTATCACAATTTGCAGATTTTAATGTCTAAACTTGTTTTTATTTACCTTTTAGGTCCACGCATTGGCATCCGTCACATTCAGACTCTGTTGCTTTTTCTTAACATAGTTGTTGTGTACATGAGTCGCCTGAATATATCTGTCGCTGTAGTGGCGATGACAAATGCCGAAAGTACAAATCCCAATTTTCCGGTAACAATATCCAAATTCTAATTCAGAGTCATCTCATTTACAAATATTAATTTTTTTTTTAGGAATTTGATTGGACCACAAAACAAAAGTCCTACATCATATCCAGTTTCTACTGGGGTTATATAATTACACAATTTCCTAGTGGCTATTTATGTCGACGTTTTGGCACAACTCCTGTGATGCTCATCTGCACTTTCGTATCGGCGGTGTTCAGTTTACTTACACCATTTCTGGTGCAGTGGGGAGACTGGCAGGTATACTGCGCCATTCGTATAATACAGGGTCTCTTTCAGGGTACACTTTTCCCAGCTGTTCATGAGCACATCGCCAAATGGTCGCCGCCATCGGAACGTAACACGATGGGTGCGCTTACATACTCAGGCATGGATTGTGGCACTGTGTTGGCTATGCTTGCAAGTGGTTTGATAGCCAGTAGTCCTCTAGGCTGGCCGGGTATTTCATATATCTCAGGTGGTATTTGTTTTGTTTGGTGCGCGCTGTGGTTTATACTGGCTGCTAATAATCCACCATCGTCTCGTTTTATAACCGATGAAGAGTGTGAGTACATTGAGAAGTCAATGA